TGTAAATAAAATGGCTCTGTCGGTGTTAAAATATATACTTAAAAAAATTTACATAACTAAACATCCTACAGTATTTTTACAGTCTTTATTTTACAGTTAAAATAAATGTTTATCAAGTAAAGTCTGTTACAACTAATCGTGGATCCCTTTAAACCAGATCAGGACCTGGTTAGTTTCACAGCACTTGTTACCACAGAAACAAATGTGCTTCATCTGTCAGCAACCGATTCAAGGCTTAATTAATTCAGGTTTACACTAAAATCCTGGCTTAATCCCTTCTCCTAGCTTAGTGGAATAGGCCTCTGGTGTTGAGTGTGACTGGAACTGCCTGCCTGTTGTCTGCAGGTACCTGGAGTATTTAAGGATCCCACACACAGAGCCTGTGGAGTATGAAATTCGCTGGGGGCCACGAGCTGATCTGGAGGTGTCCAAAGCCAAGATTCTGGAGTTTATTGGTCAAGTAAGTGTCTTGTTGGTAACCAGAGAAGCTCTGCCTGCTCCTGTTTTAACAGCAGAACAACTAAAAGGAGGATTCTTTGCTGTTTGCTTGTAGCTTCATGAACAGGATCCTCGCAGCTGGACTCAGCAGTACAGAGAAGCTCATGGCACCCAAACCCCAGGCCAGGCCAGCAGGAGCAGCTCCCAGAGATAACTGACCACTGGTTAAAATRTGCTGTGATTTTCTACCAGTACTCTTACTCTGTGTGAGTTTTACATYGGATTTTAAACTCAATATGCTTTGAACCAAGGAGACAGGAGGACTGGACTATGTTCTGTGGAGTCCAGGGTTTAGCAGCTTTCAAAGAAAACCTTTTTTTTTRTACCAACACTGGGATTTTGTGTTTAGGTTGTCAGTGGAAGGTGTAAAAACCAGTGTCTGATGGGCTGGAGGTCTAAGGTTCATGAGTGTCCCACAGCTGTTTGAAAAGATTGTGATTTCTGAACCTCTGAACAAAAGAGTGATGAACTCATGACCTTTRATAAAGTGTCTTCTCTGGTGCAGAATGAAGTGCACAGGCCTGTTTCAGTCAAATGTTTGGGGCATCATAGAGCAGAATCAGACTCTTGTAATGAACACATTGCTTCGTGAAACTGCACTAATTTGTTTTTTAATCGTTCTAAAATAAAGTTTYTTCACTAAGTGACAGCCTCTGGCTCTGCTCTGTTTGAAGTTCCAGCTTCTGTCTGCCAACATGTATCGGTTCAGCCTCCTCGTGACCTGAGGATCTAATGAAGATTCATAACTGTTTGAATAATCCTGTGCACAGACAGATGAACAAACCAAGCAGTGTTACAGAAAACCTGCTTGAAGGAGGACACTGATGGTCAGTCAGCATCCAGCAGACCTCTGCTCACAGCAGCAGCTGCACACTTTGATTTGTACAACTTTAGGCTCAGTGAGCGGTTCTCGAGGTCAGGACTGTTCAACTGGCCCGCCAATTAGTTCATTCATCTCTTAAAGGCACAGTGTGTAGGATTTTGTCAAGTCTTTTAGCCGAAATTGAGATAATCACTAATGACCATAATAAAAAACATGTCTAATC